CTGTCCCTTCCTGCTTGCCTGCCTTTCTTCCTGCCATCCTCAGAGTTGTGAATATAATCAGAACTTTTAACCAAATTAATTATGAAAATACAGTTTTGTCTTCAGGTTAAATTATTAGTTAAAAACAATTAGACTATGTTTCAAAGTTTTTTGAGATATGTGTTCAGTTATAAAAAAGACATAGAGATAGATTCCAACAGACACAGAAAAAGGTACTTAGCATCACTAATCAGGAAAAGGCAGCCCAAACCATAATGTGATACTACCTCACACCTGTAAGAATAGTTATTATTAAAAAGACAAGAAATAGCAAGTGTTGACCAGGAAATATAGAACTATTCATCAGTTCAGTTTCTGGTTATGTATCCAAAGAAAGCAAAAACATTAACTTGAAAGGACACATGCACCCCCATGTTCATTGCAGCATGATTTACAATAGCCAAGGTATAGGAACAACCTGAGTGTCTTCATATGGTGGAAGAATGGATAAAGAGTGTGGTGTGTATTTATACAATGGAATATTATTCAGCCATAAAAAGAAGATATTGCCATTTGTGACACCATTGATGGACCTTGAGGACATTGTACTAAGTAAAATAAGTCAGAAAATGACAAACCATATGATCTCATTTATATGTGGGATCTAAAACTTACAGAGGAAAAGAGCTCATAGATACAGAGAACAGATCGATGGTTATCAAAGATGTTGGGTGGGAGGAGGGCCAAAAGGTACAGGGGTACCTTTGGGTAAAGGGGGTCAAAAGGTACAAACTTCCAATTATAAAATAAATAAGTCCTAGGAATATAATATACAGCATGGTGACTCTAGTTAATAATACCATATCGCATATTTAAAAGTTGCTAAGAGAATATATCTTAAAGTTCTTATCACAAGAAAAATGTTTCCCTTAACTGTGTATGTTGATAGATACTAACTAGACTTTTTGTGATCAATTCACAGTATATACAAATATCAAATCATGCTACATACCTGAAACTACGTAATGTAATGTTATATATGTGTGTCAATATATGTGTGTCCGTTAAAAAAAAAAAGAAAACTTGTTCAAGTCTGATTTGATACATGTGATAGTCAGACTCAGGTATTTCTATGTTGTCCTCATTGAAACAACTGTTGCCTGATTTTTTAAGCAAGTGAAAACAATATGTTTTCTAATGTTTATAAATATGTCAGTGATACTGTAAATAGCATACTTTATCCGCTAAAACTAGTGTTGGTCACTCAGTCGCGTCTGACTCTTTGCGACCCCTGGACTATAGCCTGTCAGGCTCCTCTGTCCATGGAATTCTCCAAGCAAGAATACTAGAATGGGAGCTATTCCTCCTCCAGGGGTCTTCCCACCCCAAGGATCAAACCCAGGTCTTCTGCATTGCAGGCAGATTCTTGACCATCTGAACCATCAGGGAAGCCCGCAAAATGTTCCTAAATGTGTGGTATTTGAAATAATTCCAAGGAACTTGTGAGATGGTTCCTGATAGAATGAAATAGATGGTAATCTCAAGGGTTCCTATATCCTTTATGAATCTTACCTGAGTATAATATTTAACTTCAGTTTTTTTCTTTAAAAATTTATGATCTTTTATCATAGGGTAGGTGCAAAAGGATGAGATCTTACCTCATTTACCAACAGTGAAATTAAGTAAATCTTAGGCTTACTTTGCATGAAAAAATAAGAGAACTGTTAAATCACTAAATATTATTGGTAGGAATTAAAATTTATTTTCCCTATAATGTTGAGAGGCACTTAAGCTCCAGTTCATTAAAGCAGGATTTTTTTCATCTACTTGAGTTTGTTAGTGTAAGTAAAAAGACAATATTAGCTGGTGAATAGACAAGTTAAGATGTTAAATTATTGCTTTCCCATTTTGGCAAACTCATGATTTAGAATATAAATACAAAATGGGCATTTGTACCCCGGGGGGCTGACCTGTCCAGACTGCAAGTCAGACTACAGGTTTCTTGCCTTGGGCTTCTGGTTGAGTTTGGCTGTTGGGCATCATAAGGCGGGAGACCAGAGGCAGAGAGGAGAGTGCGATAGGAGTATCTGTTCCTCTAGTCTTTGCCTGAAGGGTCACTGTGGTCTTACTGTGTCCTCTGATTAAAGGACTGTTATCCTATGGCCATCTCCACACCAGATGAAACAAAGATGAAAGAGCCTTCTGTCTCCGGATTCCAGTAATTGCTCCCTACTTACCGTCTTTAAAACCTCCAGCAATATATATGGCTATTCTTAGCCAAGGAGTACTGTGCTCTCTCTTGTGGTTTCCCTACTCCCTACCAGCACCTTCGAAAATAGTCCCTTCATTTAACTCTCATCACATTTCCCAGTCTCAGTGTGCTGTTTGTTTCCTGCTGAGATCCTGACTGAAATAGCTTCTGTATGTATTTTTAATCATTATCCCGACTGGTATGCCAGATAAACTCTAATAATACTTATGCTAATTTGGGGGAGGTGATCACTGAAAGTGTTTGCAGAACTACCCTTTATTTTCACTGAGCTTCATTTCATCTAGCGTGTTGTTAAACGGAAAAAAAAAAAAGGTGTTAGATGATGTATAAGAAGTTAATGATACCAATAGCTTATTTAAACATAGGTCCCAAAATGTTGTTTTAAGTATCCCCTCTTAGGATGGGATGGGGAGGGGGGTTCAGGATGGGGAACACATGTACACCCATGGCTGATTCATGTCAATGTATGGCAAAAAACCACTACAATATTATAAAGTAATTAGCCTCCAATTAAAATAAAAAGAAAAAAATAAAATTAAGTATCCCCTCTTAAGAATCTGCTGCCAATGCAGGAGATGTAAGAGATATGGGCTTGATCCCTGGGTCAGGAAGTTCCCCTGGAGAAGGAAATGCCACCCGACTCCAGTATTCTTGCCTGGGAAATCCCATGGACAGAGGAGCCTCGTGGGCTACAGCCCACAGGGTCACAAAGAGTCGAACACAACTGAGCGTTTAAGCACCTTTCCCTAAAAAAGATTGGTGGTTGGATTCTTCGCTAAGATTACTGATGTTCTTTGTATCATCTCAGTGCTCATTAACGTGTCTTTGAGAGGGGGTACAGTTGACCCTTGGATAAATGGGGGTTAAAGGTGCTGACCCCTGAGTGCAGTGGAAAATCCTTCCAGTTGGGCCTCAGCGTCCACAGTTCTACATCCGTGGATTCAACCAACTGCAGATTGTGTATGCTGTAGTACTTACCATTTGAAAAACATCTGTGTATAAGTAGACCTGGGCAGTGTTCAAGGGTCAGCTGTACTTAACAGCAGTCAAGTTATATCATCTGGATAACCTAAAGCAGTTCTGAAAAGGTTGCTCTGTATATACTATGTTTCTTTGCATTTAATAAAGATAATTTAGTGTTAACCGTATTAGGTCATCATCTAGAAAATTCAGGCTTTAAGTACTGAGTTCGTGTAAATGTAACCTGATTTTTCCTTTGGGTAGCAATGACGAAACTGCCAGTATTACAGAGGTTAAAAATTAATTCACAATTCAATGGTAATTGACAGGCGTACTTTCTCTTGGAATGAAACAGGCTGTATTCATATCCTCTTTTCTACTTTTAGAAACAAAATACTGTTATCATTCTAATGTATAAATTATCAATCTTCTGCAGTATTATATAAAACACATTATAAAGATTGAGCTATAAAAGAGGCTTTAATTAAAACACATCTGTAATGATACTAAAAGAATTTGGAAAGTGTACTAGAATATTGCTCTATTTTTTTATACTCCCATCTTATTCTGTTCAGACTGCTCTAACAAAATACCACAGACTGAGTAGCTTATAAACAATAGAAATTTACTTCTCACAGTTCTAGAGGCTGGAAATCTGAGATCAAGTGCCAGCATGGTCCAGTGAGGGCCTTCTGGGTTGCAGACTTCTCATTGTGTCCTCACATGGTGGCAGAGGTCTCTATGGAATCTTTTTAATAGGAACACTGATCCCATCATGAGAACTCTGCTCTCCAAAGGCCTCATCTACTAATACCATCACTTTAGGATTTCAGTGTATGAATTTGGAGGTGAAAAGACAAACATTCAGACTATAGCAACCCCTTTTCTCAAATTTTCCCCTTTTACTTACTTTGTTGAAATTTGAACTCCCGAAGTACTCCCAAGTATGGTAGCTTGGATCTGCAATGTTGATACCACTTGAGAGTAAAAATCTCAGGCCACACATCAGACTCTTGAATCAGAACCTGCTGTTTAACTTGAGATTCCTCCAATGATAAGTATACACATCAGAATCTGAGAAGTACTCTAGCTATTTCCTAGGATCACGTCTCATTAGAGTAAAACAAAGTTGTCAAGTGTAAAAGCTGAGGTAATTTTTTGATCACATAGTCATGGGTAAAGAAACTGATTAAATTCACAGATAGCCTTTTCTAAGTGCAGACTCTTTTCTATTATTTCTTACATTGAACTAAGTTCTCCCATTTATGCTATTAATATAAACACTGGTACATTGCTTTATCATATATTGGGAACACAAGCAAATATATTTATGAAATTCATAGTCTTAAGAATGTGATGTGTGTGTGCAGTCTAGAAGATGGAAAGTGCTTTTATGTGTTGTTATTAATGTTATAGAGACTCTCATTCTCACATTTTCAGATTTGTTAGTGTTAAATTTTACCTTGAGCTATTTACTTACAGTATTTTTAGAGGGACTTTTATATTAGGATAGTTAAAGATATCAAGGATTACTGGACAGTCTAATATAATTGATTTCAATATTTGTCTCAAGTTGTGACAATTTCTACTAAAATCAAATTTAAGTTCACAATTTGAATGCAAAAGTAGTTATCAGTTATGTAATAGAATTTGCAAAATAACAACTAAGTTCTGCTTAGTTCTTAGCTTTTTATGGGAGAAAAGCAGTTAGTATTGGCCCTTACATTTTGCAGGCTGTTATGTTAGTTTTGGACCCTGTTGAATATATTTTTCTTTCTCATTCTTTCAGATTCATCAGGATTCATTTTTGATTTGCAATCTAATACTGTACTGGCCCAAGGAGGAGCTTTTGAAAACATGAAAGAAAAGGTATGTCTAGTTACTGTGGATAGGAAACTTGAATGTCTTGTTAAAATTTAGGTACTAATAAAATAATTGGCTACAAAACTCATTAAGAAAGTGAAAATTAAGAACAAAACTGTATGAATGCCACGGTATATCAGAGAGTAACTCCCATGAAGGTTTTGAGGAATCAGAGCCTGTAAGTATGAACAATTTTCTTTACACGTATACATATACATATATTTATTCTAAATTCTCTTGGACACCTTAATATTAATTAATACAACAGTATATCTATGGCTAAGTGTGTATCTCATTTGCTAACATTCTTTAAGGAATAGTCTGAATAGGATCGTCCCATTCACTTGAAGAGGATTTTTAAGACCAGGAGACTTTAGGGCAAGAAGAGAAATTTTCTAAGTAACATATCTTTGGAAGGGAACCAGGTTGTCTTTAGTAATATAACCCTTAATGAGCTATATTGAGAAAAAACATAAAACAAAAGCTTTACATGTGTTCTCCATCTCATTTAAAAAGTAAATCATTGATTCTGGAGTCATAGATACATATTGGTTCAATAATATAAACAATGTTGCATTTTCAGTTATGAGAATTTTGCCTTTATCTTTGAATCTGTAAGTTTTGCCTAAAGCCCATTTTCTAGTGATCACGGTAAGTTTTTTGTTCATCTCAAAAATGTGTATTATAAATTCACCGTCTTTGAATTATAGATTATATACCATCCCACTTGTATAGTTTTATACTTTATCATTGTTCAATTAAGCCTGAAACAAAAAAAAAGTATAGAATGACATGAAAACAAGTGTACTAAAAAAGACTTAGGTCCTAATACGGGTTCTGCTAATAACTTGAACAAGTTTCTTTACTCCTCTTCATCTGTAAAAGGGCTTCCTTTTCGAGAAATATGGCAGACTAGATATCCTGAAAGCATTTCTAATGTAAAGTGGTTACAAATACAGAATGAAAATAATAAACATCATTTTAAACGCATAGCCGAGGAATTCCCCGGTGGCCCAGTGATTAGGATTCTGTTTTCATTGCCAAGGGCCCAGATTTATTACCGGGTCTGGGAACTAAGAATGCTGCAGGCTACATGGCCTGGCAAAAAAAGAAAAAAAGCATAGCTGAACCCAAGAAGGGATATCCCTAGGGGCCAAAAATAGAGAAGAAACTGAAAAGCTGAGTGGTGAGCTGGAGCTGAGTAACTCTGATGTGTTTTGCCAGTCTCAGTAATAAATGGGTTTTTACCACCCAAGGCCCCAGATTTAGCTCAAAGCTTGTCCTGGGTTAGAAATTGGAACTGAGATCTTATATAAGGTTGAGATCCTGAAAATGTTTCATCTTCAGGGAAAGGTAAACTAAAACAAATCTTCCCACTGACTTTGAACACAGTATTAATATTCTTACTGTAAATGTTCAGAGGAATATATTTAAGAAGTGAAAATAAACTCAACTTTTTTCACTAGTAGTAATATTCTGTAATTATTTTATAATATTATAGAATAAAACAAATCAAGAAATATGTTAATGTTTTTAAGAGCTAAAAACTTTCAGTTAAGAGAAATACATGTTCAAAAACGACTTTATAAAAAGTCTTTATAAAAAGTCTCTTTATAAAAGTCTTTATAAAAAGTCTCTAGGTCCACGGGTTAGAGCTCTGTGCTTCCACTGCAGAAGGCATAGGTTCAGTCCTGCATGCTGCACAGTGTGGCCAAAAAAAAAAAAAGTGCCTTTTAATATTACATTTAAACTGATGGTGTCAGTATAAACTTATGTTGTGAAAAGCAAAATTTCCTAGTTCTGTTCACTGAAAGGACCTAGAAATAATCACATCCTAGTATTAGGTTGGTGCAAATGTAATTGCGGTTTCAGACTGTGAATTTTAAATCATTGTAACTAGGCTCAAATGCATCTTTAATCAAAATAGAAACCATTACAATCAACACATTTTTGCCAACAAGAATAAGCTTGTTTATTTTTATAATGTAAAAATCCATGCTTCGGGAGCCAATGAACTCTTGGAAAGCATTCTCTGCCTCTTGCTGGTTATGGAAGCATTTTCCCTGCAAAAGTTGTCAAGATGCTTGAAAAAGTGGTAGTTGTTTGGCAAGAGGTCAGGTGAACATGGCAGATGAGGTGGAACTCCGTAGCCCAATTTGTTTAACTTTTGAAGCAAATGTTGGTTGTGCGAGGTGCAGTTGGGCGTTGTCATGGAGAAGAATTGGGCCCTTTATGTTGACCAATGCTGGTTGCAGGCATTGCAGTTTTCAGTGCATCTCATCGATTTGCTGACCATACTTCTCACATGTAATGATCTCGCCAGATTCAGAAAGCTGTAGTGAATTAGATGTGCAGCAGACCACCAAACAGTGACCATGACCTTTTTTTGGTGCAAGTTTGACTTTGGGAAGTGCTTTGGACCTTCTCGGGGCTTCCCAGGTGATGCTAGTGATAAAGACCCCACCTGCCAATGCAAGCGAAAATCTAAGAGATGCGGGTTCGATCCCGGGGTTGGGAAGATCCCCTGGAGGAAGAAATGGCAACCCACTCCAATATTCTTGCCTGGAGAATCCCATGGACAGAGGTGCCTGGCAGTCTACAGTCCACGGGGTCGCAAAGAGTTGGGCACAACTGAGCGACTAACACTTTCACTTTTCTTTGGTTTTGAGAAGTGTTTTGGAGTTTCTTCTCCATCCAGCCACTGAGCTGATCAATGCTGGTAGTCGTATAAAATCCACTTTCTGTCACACATCACAATCCATTCAAGAAATTGTTTGTTGTTACACAATAAAAGAGGATGACACTTCAAATCAATGGTTTTTTTGATTTGCTATCAGTTCATGAGGTACCCACTTATTGAACTTCTTCACCTTTCCAATTTGCTTCTAATGCAGAATGACCATAGATTGGTCGATGTTGAGTTCTTCAGCAACTTCTCGTGTAGTTGAAAGAGAATCAGCTTTGATGATCCTTTCATTTGGTCATTGTCAATTTGCAATTGCCGGCCACTCTGCTCCTCACCTTCAAGGCTCTCCTCTCCTTTACAAAACTTCTTGAAGCACCACTGCACTGTACGTTCGTTAGCAGTTTCTGGGCTAATGCATTGATGATGTTCAAATTGTCTCCACTGCTTTACGACCCATTTTGAACTCAAATAAGAAAATTGCTTGAATTTGCTTTTTGTCTAACATCATTTCCCTAGTCTAAAATATATAATATATAAAATATATAAAATAATATAAATAATATATATTTATATATAAAACATATAGATATATATAAAATATATAAAATAAACAGCAAATAATAAGTCATTAGCAAAAAAAAGTGAGAAATGTGCATTAAAATGATGTATAACATAATCACATTTATTTGAGAATATATTCCAATATCAAATGGCAAAGCTCAGCAGTGCAAGACCACAATTACTTTTACACCAACCTAATAGCAATAAACACACCTAGCTCTTAGATCTTAGTTTCTAACTACCACTGCCTACCAAAAAAAGGGGGGGGGGGTCTTCTTGAAGAAATAACCAATTTCACATTGTCCAGTAAGACAAGAAATGAAGATTATAAAGAATAAAAAGGAGGGGGGGGGAAACTGCAGTTATTATAGATAATAGAATTGCCTACATAGAATAACCAAGAAAGCAACAAATTATTAGGAATAATGAAGTCATCAAAATAGTGGGATATAAAATTGACATATAAAAATGAAAAGAATATGCAGTTAATTGTAAAGTGTATATTTTTAACCTCAAAAGATACAAAATACCTTAGGAATAACTGACAAAGTTGGCATATTCGTTTTGAAGGGAAATTTGGCATTTCTAATGAATTTTTAGATTCACTACTGTTCAGAGTTTTGCCAAGAGAACGCGCTGGTCATAGCAAACAGCCTCTTCCAACAACACAAGAGAAGACTCTACACATGGACATTGCCAGATGGTCAACACCGAAATCAGATTGATTATATTCTTTGCAGTCAAAGATGGAGAAGCTCTATATAGTCAGCAAAAACAAGACTGGGAGCTGACTGTGGCTCAGATCATGAACTCCTTATTACCAAATTCAGACTTAAATTGAAGAAAGTAGGGGAAACCAGTAGACCATTCAGGTATGACCTAAATCAAATCCCTTATGATTATAAAGCGAAAGTGAGAAATAGATTCAAGGGATTAGATCTGATAGACAGAGTGCCTGATGAACTATGGACGGAGGTTTGTGACATT